CATTTTCTCCAGCTTTATCACAATACACTGTCTTTAGCGATTTATCAAATTCTCGCTCCTCATTGTTCACTCAAATATTTTGAATGCTCAAGCTTCTTGTATTCCCCGGAGTGTTTCAGATTTCCGGAAAATTCCAAGTTCCGTAGGCCTAAAAGTCTCCCAGATTCCCTCGTGGCCGACGGCGCACCAAGACTGCCTCAGACACCGAGCTCCCTTTAACAAGTGAGTGAGGTGTGCCGGGCCTCCCCCGCCTCCCCGAGGCCCCCGTCGCTGGAGCAGAAGGGCGCCGCGCCTCGTAGACAGCTCTCATCCTCGCCCCTCGTGCCGTTCGCAGCCTCTCGTGTCTCACGGGTTTATCAAGATTTTCCAGGTGCCGCCGATCCATAAGTCGTTCTCCCCGAGGCAGCGCCACGACTTCACGCTTACGACCCCGGCGACGATGCGGCTCTACAAAGGTCGACGTGACAGCCCCATCAAGCGCGAGAAGCCATTTCCCTGATCTCATCTCGGCTTCCCAGACGCGGCGCTGATCTCCCGACTCGGGAGGTCGCGGATCTAAACCCTGGGATGCTGACGCTAAACGACCGGAAACTCATCAGTCAGAAACTCATCAGCTGGGGCGCGACAATTCATTACACGACATGCTTGGAGGAGGACGGACGCAGATAGCCGTGGGGACACGTACGGCGGCTGACAAGCACAAAATGTGAACAATCGCCGTGGGCGGAATTGGGGCGGATTGGAATGAACGCGGGGCCGAGGGCGGTCTACGGCCGCGGAGCACCTGAAGTGGGTTCATACACGTACACGTATGCACACAGACAGACATTTAGATATTAGGAAAACAAAAGAAACCCATACATATGTACTCTAATATTGATAGTCAGTTATAAAAATCTAGTTTAATTCCATTTGTTATAATGATTATTCTTAGTGTGACAGGATGTCTGTTTACTTTGCTTTCAAATTACCCCCTGAGGCCAAGGGACGGCGGGGCTGCCATCCGCTGGCGACGTGGGATTGGATGGCGGGTCAGCGAGGTTGCTAGACAAAAACACGCCAAAACACTACATAGCACTCACACACACACGCACACGCATATCTATATATGTAGATATGTGTGTATGTAAATCTCTCTCTATATATAAATATACATATTCACATATATACTTTATATATAATAAATAAATAAATAAATAAATAAATATATATATATAATATATTATATATATATATATATATACACACACACACATATGTATATGTATATATATATATGTATATATATATATATATATATATATATTATATATATATTATATATATTCACACACACACACACACACACACACACACACACACACACACACACACACACACACACACACACACACATATAATATATATATATATATATATATATATATATATATATATATGTGTGTGTGTGTGTGTGTGTGTGTGTGTGTGTGTGTGTGTGTGTGTGTGTGTGTGTGTGTGTGTATAATTTATTTATTCATTTTTATTTCTTCTTTCTTTTTCTATCATCTATTCATATTTACATGGATCATATAATGGATGCCCTTCCTAATCAATTGCGGTCGAGACACACAATGACCCATGTCGGCGACCGCACGTCCGTCAGCAGCGCTTTCCTTCTCAGGACGATCTATTTTTTCGCCGTGAGATCGGGCTCGAGCCACTGCTATATCATTCATATATATATATATATATATATATATATATATATATATATATATATATATATATATATATATATATATATATATATATATATATATATATATTTTATCTATTTATTTATTTAGGCATGTATGTATGGACACACATGCACACCCGCTGACTAGCGCGCGTCCCTGGTGCAGCCATGATTCATGCACGCCCAGGCCCTGGCGCGCCGCGCACAATGCCGCCTCCAGGGCGTGCATGTGTTGTAACGGACAGCCCGAAGCAGGAGCACGACACGAGGGAAGTTGATTAATGATTTATGGCGATTAATCTTTGCCTGACAACTGAGTCGTCCCGCCAGACCATTCAGAAACACAACTCGCACACGAGCATGCACATGAATCATGCCTGACATCTGACGCTGAAACATGCAACATCAACACAAACACCACCGAGTTTATAGACGACGTGGATACACTTATAAGTCACTCACGCAGGTAAAATGCGCTCGCACTCGCTCTCTCGGCGGCTCGCTCGCACACGCAGGCGATTCAGACACATAAATAAGAACAAACAGGTTGAATTATCATACACAACCGTATCGATATGCACACACACACACACACACACACACACACACATACACACACACTCACTCACACATACACTCACTATCTCTCTCTCACCCACATACTTACTCTCACACACACATACTCACTCTCTCTCTGTCTCTCTTACACAAACACACACACACACACTCACATTCTCTCTCTTACACAAAAACACACTCACTCACACACACACACACTCT